TAATTCACTGGCTAGAGGGTGGACACACAGTAGCTCGGGTGACAGTAGAGTAATATACAAGAACGGGGAGAGCAATACATGAGAAGAGGGAAGGTAGCAGTAGGACACTGAAGGCAGGTGAAGACACAGGGAGGTATGCATGGGCTAAAGGGAACAGAGGTAAGTAGTCATACATACACATCCCACTCCCCAAAAACTGCATTTTTAGAAAAGTGGGTAAGAAAAAATGTAAAGCCATGTCAATGTTCTTACATGTTCTATAGCACCCGCCTGTTCGTTACTGTATTCTCGATAGTGTCCAAGCATCTGGTCCACTTGTCGCAGGTTCCGACTGGTGTCCTTAAGAAAGAAAATGGGCTTATTAATTGATCCAAACGTTGTTTTTCTGGGTCAACCTTAATGGTATGTCAAACAACTAAGTCAATGGTTTATAAAAGATTCATTTATAACACAATTTAGTTGCATATCAAGGTCCTTCATAAATATCAAAAAAATCAATGTTATGATCACCACTGAAAAATTGAAATCCATCTCCTGTTTACTTAATGTGAAATCTAAAGCACATTTAGATTTAAATCCTTACCCAAGGTTCCATAACCAATGGTCAACAAGAAACATAAACCGAAAAGAATTCTCAAATAAATTTCTACACCTCAAGAACTTCACATCCTCTTCACAAAATAGGAATCCTAAGAGTAAATCTAGTAAATTGTGTATGGGAAATAAATTACTAGGATCATTATTATTTCAATTACTACTTCACCTCAAAATTTGATTTGAATAGCAAAAACAGAACAAAGTTGCCTACACAGGGTATCCAAGGTGCGGTTGGTGGGTTGAACCACCCACCTTGTGGTTAACAGCTCAGTGCTTATCCTACAGCACCACTACAAGACTCCCCTTTAAACTTTAGCTATCAATAAATTTAGTTGTAAGCAAAACCAAAAATGGTTTTGGTTATATTTTGTTTATGCTAGACTTAAACTGAAAGATCAATGGAAACAATTTTAAAAAATACATATAAATATATTTAATAACACAATTACATTAATAGAAAAGTCCAAGAATCCATAATCCAAAAATCCATCACTATGTTGTCTGAATAACTTTAAAAAGCAAAGCTTCCTTTTTTTTAAGAAATTATGTCTTCTGCCACAGAAATGGGCCTCATCTTGTCTAAGCATGCTTACTGAAAGCTATTAAACAGTCAAAATTTATGCATATTTATAGGCTAAAGCAAAAGAAAGGGATTAATGACAGGGAAAAAAACAAACAACTATGTATATATTTTCTTTTTCATAGTGTGACCTAGCCATACTTTCCCTGGCCTCCTTTAGCAAACCCTTCTGTGTGAAGGATATAATCTGCCATCACTCAAACATCCAAACACTGCAAAAGGTGAAACTATAAATCAAACCAGCATCTCCACGTTGTTGTTGTTAAGTGCCGTCGGGTTGGTTCTGACCTATAGCGATCCTGTAAAGGGTTTCTGAGGCTGTAAATCTTTACGGGAGCAGAAAGTCTCATCTTTCTCCTGTGGAACAGCTGGTAGTTTCAAACTGCTGACCCTCATAACCGCTACGCTACCAGAGTTCCTTTCAGAAAATAATGCAGCCTACCATTATCTTAATGTTATCCCAATGAAGCTTGTGTTGGATTTCTGACCTATACAAAAGTAAGATTATAAATCTGTGTTGCTCTCAATCGCTAGATATGATGTAATATTTCACAGTAGTAATAGAAAACTAATACATTGAGACTAACACAAGGAACCTTCAAAAAGTTCATGGAAATTTTTCATTATCTTTTAATTCCATTTTTTCACAAAGTTTTTGAAACTTCCTTGTATGAACAAATACGTGAAATCAAAACAAATAAGTACAATCCATTCAATTCGATCATTGCAAAACTAACCTGTAAAGTACTTGTTATAGTGTTGACTTTCTTGGTGACATCTGCCGTGGGGTGATTTCGAGTCCTCCTGTGAGCTGACCTTGTAGACCATCGACTCAACTGGTCTTGATAGCGGAAGCAGTCTGAATCACTGGAGGATTCTGCCATTGATATACACAACCCTTAAAAATAAATCCAAGTCAAAGTCAATAAAACACTAAAGAGCATGAAAACAACAGATTATTTACCTTTGTATCCTTTGGTATATTGTAATTTCCATACATGTTGTTGTTAAGTGCCACTGAATCAGTACTGTCTCATAGCGACCCTATATAGGGTTTCCAAGAGCTGCTGGTGAGTGACCTTGAACTTCCAACCTTGCGGTTCAAAGCAACCTTATAGTCCAGCACATTTACCCACAGTGCCACACCAGGACTTCTTTAAAGCCTACAGCACCTGGTATTCCCAGGCGGCCTCCCATCCAACTACTAAACAGGCCTAATCCTGCTTAGTTTCAGATCAGACGAGATCAGGAGCATTCAGGGTGGTACTGCCATATATAGAGCTTGAAAACAATAAAAACATTCACTCCCACCTATGGATGCAGTAGCTCAAAAGAGGAAACAAATCTTTACAGCGAGGATCATTCTCACCCCCTCCATACACACAGTAGAGAAGGATGGGTAACTTGGATATTGGTTACCCAAAATGGGTGGAGGGGAGACTACAAAGGCAAGAAGTGACTGGCTTATAAGCTTTCAAGAGGGAAAGCCTATATCCAGAGGGCCCAGAGGAAGGCAGAATCTCCACTGAGTAGTATCCAATCTGTCTGGGTGAGCTAATCAAAGGAGATGGGAATAGGTCCCTTGTGGTACAATGGTGAATAATTGTTATCAGGACTGACTGGGGGTTGGAAATGTAAAGGTAGATGTTTTGTAGCAAAAGGAGGGGAGTGATTGACTATGCAGTCAGGAACCCAGGTCCCTGGAACCATCAAGGGAGAAAAGCAGAGTGCGAGACCCTACCCAGAGAGTCAGTGATGCCTGAGATGGAAGCAGAGATGATGACGTGGAGAGATGGAGCAGCTGGGGACTTTAGACCCAGAGAGGGAGAGGGGTTGTGTGCTGACGACCAGGGTGGAGGGGTGGAGAGCAAGCTTGCAGGGTATACCCTGTGGTTGGTTGATGATGCATGGAGGGTACTGTAACCATGGCAATGAAATGATATACAATAGGATGAATGTAAGCTAGTGTTCTCCCATGTAAACTATCACATAATGCACAATAAAACATTGTTTAAAAAACCTAAAGTGAATAGAGGGAAATACTATTAACTGATGATACATAGAGGGGATTATAATCATTGTAACGAAACAAGGTGTATGATTTGTTGAATGTAAAACTGATGATCTGTCCTGCAATCTTTCACTCAATCCACAATAAAATCTTTTAAAACAATCACTCCCCATCTAATTGTCCTTTTGTTTTTTCTATCTTGAAAGAAATTCCTCAGATATAATTTTAGTCACCTGTAATTTTGAACAATAATAATTCCTTAGTTTTTGGAATATTTCCAAATTCTAACAGCACTTTCACAAATGATATCTCATTTAACCCTATCAAAAAGACTTTAAGATAGATGTAACAGATGAGAAAAAATAGCATTCTCTAATTAAATTGGTAAATTAATAGCAATTAAAATATTGAATTAATATTAACTAAATTAATTTTAAAAATGGACTTCTAATTACAAATTAAAGGATCAAAAAAATATACCAAGGTAATTGCAACTGAAAAATGAGCAGGATTGGCAGTATTAATATCAGATAAAATAAACTTTAAAGCAGCATCAGAGACCACCCCCCAAAAAAAAAAGGTAATTATCTCATAGTTAAAGGGTCAGCTGAACAAAACGACATAACCGTAATAAATATTTATGCTCCCAATGACAGAGCCCCAAAATACATAAAGTAAACCATAATAGAACTGAAGAAAGAAATAGACAACTCTACTGTAACAGGAGAAGATTTTAACACACCACTTTGAAAAAGGACAGAACAACCAGAAAGAAGCTTAGCACAGACACATAGGAAGTGAATAACATAATCAATCAACAAGACCTAGATTTGTACAAAGCATTCAACCCAGAAACAGCACAATACAAATTATTTTCCAGTGTACACGGAATATTCTCCAGAATTGACCGTGTGTTCAACCATAAAGTAAATCGCCTTAAATTTAGATACATCAAAATACAAAGCAACTTCTCATACCACAATGCCATAAAATTAGAAATCAACAAAAGGAAGATCAGGGAAACAAAATCACATACATGGAAATTGAATAACACCTTGCTTAAATGATACTGGGTAGTAGAAAAAATAAAAAGAAAACTTAAAAATTCCTAGAAACAAATGAGAATAAAAACACAACATACCAAAACCTTAGGGATATAGCAAAAACAGTGCTGAGAGGACAATTTATAGCAATAAATGCATACATTCCAAAAGAAGAAAGAATCAAAATCAACACATTAACACAACATCTCCAATAATTAGAAATCAACCAGCAGAGTAGCACTAAAGCCACCAGAAGAAGGGAAATAATAAAAGATTAGAACCAGCTTCATAAATGAGACAGAAAACAGGAAAACTATAGAAATAAATTACAAGAAGCTGGTTCTATGAAAAGATTAACAAAATTGACAAACCATTGGCAAATCTAACACCAAAAAAAGAAGGAGTTGACACAAATAACAAGCATAAGAAACCACATGGGTGACATTACAACAGAACTAGTGGAAATAAAAGAGATAACTAACAGAAAACTATTAAGAGTTGCACTCCCACAAATTTAAGAGTCTAGAGGAAATGGATGCATTTTTAGAAAAACATGACCTACCTAAACTTACAAAGAGTGAATTACAAAACTTGAAAGGACCTATAACAAAGGAAGAAATTTATCAGGTCATCAAAAAACTCCCTACCAAAAAAATCCAGGTCCAGATGGTTTAACTGGTGAATTTTATCAAACATTCAGAGAAGAGATGACACATGTTCTACTTAAACTATTCCAAAATATAGAAAAGAATGGAAACCTCCTAATAAATTTTACAAAGGAAGCATAATCCTTCTACTAAAAACAGGAAAGGACATCACTAAAAAATTATAAACCAATATCCCTCCCCTCATGAACACAAATGCAAAAATTCTCAACGAAATCTTAGTCAATAAAATTCAACATCAAAAAAACGTCATGACCAAGCAAGATTTATACCAGGGACGGAAGGATGGTTCAATATTAGAAAAACAAAGTAATTCACTAAATTATTTTTTAAAAGGAAAAAACCCATATGATTATATTGACTGATGCAGAAAAGACATTTGAGAAAACATAGCCATTCCTGATAAAAATCATTCAACAAAGCAGGAATTGAAATTCCTCAACATAATTAAGATCATATATACAAAATCTGGTGTGGCACTGTGGGTTAATGCGCTGGACTGCAAAATTGGTTTGAACCACAAGGTTGGTGGTTCAAACTCACCAGCTGCTCCTCAGAAACCCTATACAAGGACACTGTGGGTTGGACCCAACTCCACAGTACTTAACAACAACAACATCATACAAAACCAACAGCCAACATCATTATCAATGGAGAGAAACTGAAATCACTCCATTTGCAAACAGGAACCAGGTAAGGATGCCCTTTATCACAAGTTCTATTCAATATTATATTGGAAGTCTTCGCCAGAGCTAAGGCAAGAAAGGGGGATTAAAGGTATCCAAATGAAGAAGTAAAACTCTCTCTATTTGTGTATAGCATCATATCAGGTGATATGATCCTATAAAATTAAAATCCCAAAGACTCAGCAAAAAAACTTACTGGGACTTACTGGAAGATTCAACAAAGTGACAGGGTACAAGATCAACATACAAAAATCAGTTGGATTCCTATATACTAATAAAGACAACTCTAAAGAGGAAATAAGGAAAACAACACTATTTACAAAACCATTTACAACTGCCACCCAAAGGAAGAAATTTTTAGGAATAAATCTAACCAAAAAACAAAAGGCCTATACAAAGAAAACTACAAAACACTATTACAGAGGAACAAACAAGATGGCGGATCAGGTAGACGTATAGCAGAGAACTCCAACAACAACAACACAGAATACCCGACTAAGCAGGTTCAGGGGATAGTCCCAGAACTCTGAACCACATATAAAGGAATACTTGCAAGGTTGGAAGGCTAACAGCTGGGGGAATTTGTGGCAGAAGCAAGAAATCTATTGCTTTCTAGTCCAGGACGCTCGGCTGCTCCAGGAGTCGCCATCTTGGGTGAGTCCACGTGGGGGAAGGAGCGGAGTGGCCACAGATGCCTGACAGAACCGCTGAGATAAAGGTGTGGACATTCTTTTCTTTTGGTATCTGTTCATTGGTCCATTGCTGTCTG